AAAGGTCCGAAGACCAGCAATTCAGAAGCAGTTCTACGACATTGAGGAGCGAGTGATTGTCCGTCCAGCAGGATCAGCAGTAGTCGAGTTGGACGAGCCGACGTCAAAGCTCCAACGTGGACCAGCAGTAGTGCAGCCCCTGGATGTCAGTCACTACTCAGCAGTTTCTCCAGTAACTCACAATCTTGTGGCACAAGCGGCGTCATTTGCTCATGCTCCATCATCACCCACGACCATTCCCTTCGTCGCTCATGCTCCAGTGCACGTGACGGTTGCACCAGTCATTTCTCATGCACCAGTCTCCCATTACCCGTCATCCACCTCCGCTCCAGCTCTCGCTGATTCTCAGGGGGAGAGTCAATCCGAGGGCGATCAATCGGTTACCGTTGAGAATCCTGATTTCAGAGGTGCACAATTCACTCAGGGATTATTCAAGGCTGCGGCGGAGGGTGAGAAAGCAGCGACCAGAGCACAGGAGAGAATGCAACAGGAGTATTTCCAAAGTTTAACGAAATCTCAGGTTTGTTCGTATCTTCACGTCGTCAGGGTGATTTATGTAGAATTTTCTCAACCTTAATCTTCAAAATTTCGAATTTTCCAGGACATACACAGGACTGATCTAAAAATATCGATTTTGCGCGTTTCAGAATATCCTAGATAATTTGCAATTGAAATGAGAAAATTGAAAAAAAAAATAAAAATTTCCCGCGCTTGCAGGTGAATTCATTCAGTCAATCCCAGATCTCGGACATACAGATAAAATCAAATGGTGAGCAGTCCAGCCCATCCCGTTTCATCGCTCACGATCCGACCCCAAGTCCCTCGGTTGTCCCAAGTGTTCGCGGATCACCCGAGGAGAACAAGAGCAATCAACAGAAGCTCATCGACCTTCTGACAGCTCGTGGTGGAGTTGCTGATGTGAGCAATCGATCTTTTAACGATTCAATACAATAACAGAATGTAAAAATAAAGCTGCAACTCCGTGTCTCTTTCAGATTGGCTTTGGTCGTGATGGAGTGTCATCATCTGTTGGGGATGCCGGTCACGTTCGTGCTCGGGTTATATCAGCGACTCCTGCACCCGATTATGCCGAGCCAACGGGTGAGCGTGTGTCAACTCGTCGAGTTGTGGTGAGCAGACCCATCGAGACACTCCAGGAAGTTGACGTACTGGAGCCAGCAACGAAATACGAGAGAATATCTGTTCACCATCCGACTTTGATAAAAACAGCTAGACTAGATCACATTCAAGTCCACGGATCCGTTCCCGTCGTCGGCAAAGCCCTCACCCCCGCCGTTGCTCATGCCGCTGTTCCTGTCTATCAGAAAACCGTATCTCCAGCTTATGCGTACTGAATACTCATTCAAAATTATCTGAATGAATTTTGTAGAAAGGAATAATCATGGATGTTTAATACTCACGTTTATTTTTTTTCCCATCCACCTCTTCATCCAACATTGAATGAATCAATATTAGAGTTAAGATAAATATAAAGGTAGCTTCCCTAAATTTTTTTAAGTGAAACATTTAAATATTTCATTTATTTGCAATGAGCCTATCAGGAAATGTCGGATAATTTTAAAGCACTTGTGGTATTTCTAGTGATTATTCTTAGAAAGTATCAGAACTTGTTCTTGATGACGATTAAAAATTAAGAGCAAGGTTGTCTGAAGAGCCAACAAATCCGCCTCTCACCAAAACCCATATTGCACTCTCATCTCGTTGAACTATTCCTGAATGGAATTTTCATGATTTCATCTTTTCCCCTCAAAACTTTTTCGGTCTGCAAGTAAAATTAAAAGTCATATGGGTAGTTACAGCCTGTAAAGTTTCAAATGTCTTTCGTTTCCTTGACTTTCGATTTTTTACGGGTGCTGCAGAGTGCAGTATGTGCTGCACTCTCGACGAAGTCGTGAGAAGTCGGTACGAGAAGATCGAATCAGTTGAAACAAATAAAATAAATAAATAATTGTCATTATTTTTTAAGCAGACGAGATTTCTCTAGTTTTCACTCTGAGTCAACCTGTGCCTGAGAAGACCCTTCACCCGGGGCTAATTATTTATATATGATTTTCTGAGTGAGATCCCTGATGATGATTACTAAATATTATTGGTAAACCTCAGGGTACTACCGATTTTTCTCCGCGTTCTCGAAAGGTTCTTGATGTTTTTTATTAATGCAAAGTTAACGACCCTAAAGTCCTGCGAATAAAGTCCGGAAACAGGGAAATCAATTCTGACAAGGATATCCACTTTATTGCTCCTGAGGCCACCGCAGCATTGACCCGAATACCCGATTTACCCGTTCACTCATCCCCGTGGATTCGCGATGAAAGGAGGAAGTTAACTTCAAATCCCGTCGTATCACACATGACGTATCAATTCACCGCGAATTTAATTTCCTCCAGCTGGAATCATGTGGAATTAAATTTTCTCTAAATAAATAATCCTCGACTGAAAGAAGTCCGCCACAACAATTACCAACGCATCATTTAAACACTGATAATTGCCTCAAAAGTAATTGCACGGTATTTGCTGATTGATGTTGAGATGGAATACTAACGATCTCGTGACCGGAAATTGAAATTATTGGAGCATAACCCGCCGGGCGAATCACGAGGATGAAATAACTCTTGACTTCAGAAGACTTTCACCTTTCGTACGATCTGACCTTGCATAGGGTTTATTACTAGAATTCCGCGGTAGACCCTGACGATAAGTCACATTTACCGATTTTTCCGATTTTCTTTATTCTCACGAATTTTTTCGTGAGCTCTCTTCTCAATCGATTTCGATTTATCGAGAACTCATCGATGGGTGTATCCTCTGAATTATTGAGAAGATCGTTATCGATTTGTTCTTCTGAAAAACACTTTTTTATACACCCGATCGATTTTCGAATTTATTCGACTCGAGTAAATCGTCACGGGAGAAAAGTCCAATAAAAATTTCTAAAAAAACCGTAAAATTAACGAAACGTAACAAAAAAATTCCTAAACATAACGATTCGTAAAATTCTCGTTAGATTTTACAGTCTCCAGAAAAATTTAAATTAAAAACCTAATTTTTCCGCACTCCAACAGATTCGTGAATTTTTTTTTCACCTGAAATCGCTCGCGCTTGCAATTACGTGGATTACCACGTAATTAAAAAAAAAATATT